ACTTCAGTAAGGCGTTTGATAAGGTACCACATGAACGACTCCTCCTTAAGCTTCGGGCTATTGGTGTCACGGGGGATATCCTCTCTTGGATCGCGGATTTCTTGCACAGTTGTCCAATGAGAGTCAAAGGGAATGAAGCTCTTTTCCAGTCTTTTCGGATGACCAGTGGCGTGTCACAGGCTTCGGTCCTTGGTCCTTAATTATCCACAATCTTCATCAACGACCTTCCCTCTGCGCTTCAGGTGAAGTGTCTAATCTATGCTGATGATCTGAAACTATGGTTATAGGTTTCTGGCCTCGATGATGCTGACAGATTACAGTCAACATTTGACACCCTTAATGATTGGTCCATTACTTGGGGTTTGCCCATTAACCGTGACAAGTGTTACGTCCTCCCAATCCGTGTCCCTGAACCCTTCGGCACATACCATGTTTGCGGTTGTCTGCTCCCGAATGCCACTCCAGCGAAGGATCTAGTCACTATTGTGTCTCCCGACTTTAAGGCAACGCAGGATACTTCGAGGAAATTCGGTGCAGCTAAAATGGTGTTCACCATTAGAAGATCTTTTTCTTGATTGTCCCCAGGGATCTTCCACCTCCTGTTTATCTTGCATGTGAGGTCTATTCTTGAGTATGACCTACCTGCTGTTAACCCCCTCACGAAGTTTGCAACATGTTTGAAAGGATACAGTGGCGTGGTTCCAAATCGGTCTCGGCGTTACGTGATATATCCTACCGTGCTCGCCTACAACAGATGAATCTGTTCTATTTTGATTATCGTCGTTGCCAGGGAAACCTCATTTACACCAAGCGTATTCTTAAAGCAGAACTGGGCACCAAGTTGCAACAATTACAATTGAACACTGAAATCTCGACGCGGGGACACAATTGGAAGCTCTTTAAGACGAGGAGTTTCCGTATCTGTCCGGTGGTCACCCTATCCACTCGGGTGGTGAACGACTTGAACTCTCTGCCGGAGCCCGTTGTCCACGCACCCAGTGAGAAAAGTTATAAAAGGCTGTTGGATCTCTATTTGCTGTGTATGCCGGAATCGTCTTGCTTTCGTTGAATGCCGTTTCTTAACGTCACGCATTGTCCCTGCTTTGACCGGGATGCGCTGAAGCTGATAAGGGCTCCCCCTTCTGCTTTCTACAATTCAGTGGTTTAATGGTTCAGTTAAACAAATCCACTCCAGTGAACCAATCAGCGCATAGATGAAATATTTGTACCTGTCCAACTAACTGCTTTGTTCGCTTGCCGTTTGCTTGCACAATCCTATCACAGTGCTGAGTTTGGATTGAGTCCTTAGGATGCACTGTATCCGCTCACTGTTTCTAATCGTGTGATGTCTAGCAGACCGAAATTGATTTATACTCTGGGCAATGAGACCCATATTAAGAGCTAGTCGATGTGCTAAAATCCAATTTAATTTTATTCTACGCAGTCATAGCTCTCACGGTAGTCCTTACTCACAGACACATTGTGCTACCGTTTTATAAAAGATCTTTGAACGTTTCCTAATGCAAGAATATCCGCCTTATGAAGATTGCCATGTAAAATGGGACAGTAATCAAACCGTGGTCTTATGTATAATTTGAATGTCTAGATACCTTCATGATAAATGTTCTACGACTAGGCAGCCATTACCTGTTTACAGACTGCAAGAATGCAACTTGTTCCCTGAAATTAAAAATAGCAGAGTAGCTCAGTCCCAGGTCGCGAACCGTATGTGAGAATAGTTGTATTATTGGGAGTCAAGCAATCAGGTGAAACATCGCGAACATGATATAATACCTTACATTTATTTGCGGTGAGATGCAAGGCTCCATTTTTCTAACGAGGTTAGATAGGATTAGATGTATCTTGGATCGAAGCCGCTTTGTTTTATGTCAATACGGTAGACCATTCTAATGTCCTTAGCGAAGAGAAGTGACCTTCTAAATTTTATGTGACCGAAGCAAGTCTAACGCACTTGCTTGGATTACACAAATGATTATCGCGTTAAGTTCAGACAAGCTGTTGCCAATTTCAACTGATTCTATCTTGCCTTCGATACAGGAGATTTGTAACACCATGGGCATCGTTTTTTCGCAAGAGTACCTTATGGGGTATCCAATTAGCCGCTTTTCGTATATTGAAAATTATGATAACGATGGCTTTTCGAAAGTTTTTTTGGTGACATGGTCTAGATTGTAGAGCTCCCAAGTAGCGCACAAATTAGTTCGAAGAAAGTCACTGAGCACACTCATTGGAACGCGAGTATTCCTATAACAAAACGTTCCATGTTTTTGCGACAACGGAATTATCGTATATGTGACGGTCGTTTTTCACGTTCCTTATTGGGTCATTTTTGTGTCAGCTTGTTTCCATTGATGCGGAAAAATTACGTTACTCTTTGTATGAGTAAATATGTAATATGTAAATTTTAAAACAGTGTGCTTCCCTTAGTAACTTGAAATGCACATTTAGAAGATAAAGTTCGGTAGATGCATGCATTTCGCATCATCTCATCAGTGCGGATAGCGATAACCGGTACTTTCATACAACAGTTTGTGAGTACAGAGGTATACACAGACAAACGAGAAATAACGTGGTGTCTTTCTTCGATAAACAGGACAGCCTGAGGCTGACCCATCGTTGTTTTTGCACACAAAACACTGACTTGATCCGATTAATGGCAATAGCCTCAGCAAACCGGAGGAGCCGGGAATTGGTATGGCGAAGCAGGATCCTAAACGCTTTGTTGACCTCAATTCGGTGACCCGATGTCAATAAGTGTATGCCGATCGAAGATTTCGGCGGCCTGCGCAAACACAGTCTGAGTTGGGTTTGCTTGCTGAATAAGCCCGCATTGAACCCATTTTGGTCCATGCTCCTTTATTCGGGAACTCAGTGTTCTATTGGTTCTGCCTATGTAACTATCTCCGCAGTTACATACGAATTGATCTACGCAGTGGGAGTTGGCCCCAATAGGCTGTTTCCTTCAATGCAGGCAACGGTAGCTTATGAATTCAGTCGATGGTTGCCACTTCGGCAGCACAGAAAGTGCTCCGTGGAGCGGAAATCAAACGTCTTGTAGTCCTCAAAGAAGCAATGTCGCCCTTAAACGGCAGCTCTAAGAATCCCTCTTTCTTAGGTACAGTAGATACAGCAACTTTCATTTCACGGCTTTGGCTTTGCTTATGTATAAATTTTCGAGGGTAGCCGTTAGCAGTTAGAGTGTTGGTAATTAGTTCTAGTTCATCGGCTAAACAATTGGTCGAACATATTCACAAGCGTTAGATTGTGCCGCATTGGCGTAAAGCTGCTAAAATGCAGGTACTGTCCTGACCACGTTGTTTTCCGGTCGACACCTTTTTACCAGTCCGTTCTCCCTGCGACTGATGACAACATCTAAATATGGAAGACAGTTCTGTTGTTCGACTTCGTAGGAAATCCTCAAATTGACAAGCGTGGAGGCACAACGTATCATTAGCTTTGCGATCTGCATTTCCGTTGAACAGAACACCAAGATATCGTCGACGTAACGTTTATACTGGGGTAACTGCGCTGTTTCTTCGGATAGGCTTCATTCTATCATCAGCGTGAAGAAATCCGCTAGTATGGGACCCAGTGAACTGCCCATGGCTACCCCATCAATTTGGCGATAAAGTATGTTTCAGAAGTGGAATTCGACATTCTCTGTGCATAGAAGTAATGCTTCTCTCAAGAATTCAACCGGAATCGGCAACGAACATCAGGAACTTTCTGGTAATTCGCAGATGTAGTCAAAGGTCTGATGTAGCGGCACGTCATTAAACAAGAAATCCACATCTCAAGAACACATCACCTTATCGGACATGTTCATTTTATCAAGATTTTCGACAAGCTCAAAGAAATCTTCGAGGCAATATAGCTTAAACTGAACTTTTAGCGGAGAAAGCACATTAACCAACCAGCGAGCTAATTTATGTTGGTGTGCGTTCGTCATCGAGACAATCGGTCTGAGCGACGTTTTTGGAAACCCATTTAGTTGTGGCGTAGTTGATCCACTCGGCTTTAAACTGTTATAAATAACGCTGTCGATCACGTGATACTGATGATGCATTTCTAAGTGGCGAATAATACGAGATTCGAAAACAGTCACATCCTCTGCCTTCTCCACTCGTTTAAATTTGTTAGTGTCACTGAGTATGACGCTCATCTTTGTTCATGACTACAACTCCTGAGCCCTTATCCGGCTTCATTACAACTACATTCTTATCGCGCAATTCGCGTAACACTCGTAGGCGCGCACTTTTCTTTTAGTGGCGCATTTTTTACTTCATAGGCAACATCGGTCAGTTTGTTTCTAGACCGAATAAACTTACCGGTTCTAGTTGGTTGGCTAACCTTGAAAATCTATCCATAAGCACAGCCAAAGTCGTGCAATGAAAGTTGCTGTATCTACTGTACCTAGGAAAAAGGGATTCTTAGAGCTGCCCTTTAAGGGCGATATTGCTTCTTTGAGGACTACAAGACGTTTGATTTCCGCCCCACAGAGCACTTTCTGTGCTGCCGAAGTTGTAATCATCGACCGGACTCATAAGCTACCGTTGCCTGCACTGAACGAAACAGCCACTGCGTAGATCAGTTCATGTTTAACTGCGGAGACAGTTACATAGGCAGAACCAATAGAACACTGAGTTCCCGAATAAAGGAGCATGGACCAAAATGAGTTCAATGCAAGATTATTCAGCAAGCAAACCCAACTCAGACTGTGTGTGCGCAGGCCACCGAAATCTTCGATCGGCATACACTTATTGACATCGGGTCATCGAATTGAGGTCAACAAAGGGTTGGGGATCCTGCTTATGGCAATAATTTCCTCTTGTGTACTTTAGATTCTGTGATGCTCATGTTGCATAAAACATTTGCCTGGATGAATCGTTATACATAAACTTCCTTTTTATTTTCTTAAACTTGGTAGCTATTTTCAGTAATGTGCATAAACACCTAGCAGGCCGTTCCAATCGTCTTTTATGCTCGGGGGCTACCGTCTCTATGCATTGTCTTATGTTGTGTGGCCTGAGAGTTCACTCTTAACCGCGGCAAAAAACGGACGATATTTCTCACTGGGTAAGTCCATTGCGAGATAATTTGATAGTTACGTCCCAACATGTGGCTGCTCTCTCGAAATCACTCCTCGACACTGGTAGACACTTGGGGAGCCCATGATAAAGACACGTGACTTCACAAGCCTGGTATATTCTCAGACATACTAGGTGATCAATGGTGGTTGCAAATGTGGCATACTTAGAAGGAGCCCTTGCATTAGACCACTGTTTTTGGCACATTAAATTCGCCGGCAAAAGCCTTATTATGGAATGGAAGGCCGGGAACACGAGAGAAATTATCAATTAAGCCATTTGTTAACGTAGCTTGGGATGATAGGTGCCTGTAAACGCAAGCTACTGGACTATCGATTGATGTTTTCTCCTCCAGTAAGTGGCAAGTGCTTTGTCGCAGGCGGTACGTCCTCATTCCAATAAGCAATAGGAAGCCAGAGGTGGAAGTAGGTAGGTTAGACGGAAGCACTGTTCAAAGAGCTAATTCTAAATAAGAAAGGAATCAATTTCAAATTTTAGATTGGGCATTTTACAGTGGAACACAGACCGGTGAATCACATGCCACCTGGATTCGACTACAGAGATACAACTGAAAACACCGTTTTTGAAGTTCGCGCCACTCGGTGTAAGTTGCGGATAAAACCGACTATCAGCCTGTCTGGAAGGAATTTTGAATGGACTCAGCGTAGTTCATATACCAATGAGCACATTGCATTCTTGCTTTGGAATCCGCTATTGCTCGTTGCCAGTTGTGCTGCTTTTTGTAGCGCTGAGTCTAACACACAGCTATAAGTCGATGACAGTAAGTGGAATCACCGCTAACTTCACGTAAAACGTGGCGTACGATATGTGACGATGACAATCAACAGCTGGTATCTAGAAACACCGGAATACCTGCTTGTATCTAAGGGATTATTGAACTCAAACGTTAAAAAACTTTCTCTTTGCTTAAGTGTTTTCATTCAACTACCAGTATAATCCATGACTTCTCTTTACGAGCATGTGTGAAAACCGACGGTGTATGCAAATAAATAAATAAAGCTTTTGTTCTCGTAACTGAGTTGAAATTGGAGTTAGCCTCCCATCTGATCAGTGTGTATCTCAATGCATCCACCAGGGTCACTTCCATCCATAACTGTATGCTTGGAGCAAATGCGTATTTGGTGAATTGCAGTGTTCCTTCCTGGCTTTTCTCCTTATATGTTTTGTGGTCTTTCTTTGAAAATACTGTTTTACAATTTTATTTATGCAGCTGTCCCCATTTTGTATGATTAATCACCTCGATATTGCTATGGACCACTCACGATCTAGCATATCCCGACGTCATCTACTGTTCCTCTTTTGAATTGATATACTTTGCATGTTTATTTGCTCCCAGGCGTTACCCAAATTGATGAATCCGAGCGCGGCGTTTGCCTTAATATTCGAGCATCAAGGTCGCACGCGGGATGTGCTTGCGGCCCAATCAATCCTTGCCTTCCTGAAAAATGCTCTTGTATAAAGAATGGCGTTCAATGTCAGGTAAATTCAACACTCATTCTGTTCAGCGCTAAAAATATTTCACCGATGTTCACCTAGCAGCTTTTCCCAATCATTTTGCTGCGCTCTCCACACCGGAATTCACTGCTTAGTTTTCCTCTATCGATTTCTGTATGATAACCTTAAAAGTAGAGTGGAGAAAAACATCGAAGTAACTTGATCGTGTAGTTACTGATCACAAATGAGGCGTCAAGGCAAAGAGCCCTACTGACTTTTGACTACCCCATAGATTTTTTTTACCTTTGTCGGTAGGTTTGGAGCCGCCATCAAATTAGACGACACGCATCAACTAACCCGCTTTTTCGGTTATTTCTTTCACACACTTCTGCCATCTCATCCCTTAGCTGTTGGGGAACTCATCATATGGACTGCAGTATGAACACCTGAGGCAATCGCCTGAAAAATTCTCGATAACTTTGTATAGACGTTGTTCCTTCTTGGGCACGCATTATCTTATACAATGGGCATTAGAAAGAAACGAAGGCACGTTTTACTCACAGATGTTTCTGTATATATTGTATCACCACCTCCATAATAGACCACGTCTTTGAACCGTTTGGATTCTTCCTTTTACTCGGTTAGACAAGCAACATGTGGCCAGCCACAGGACGCCTGCGCCTACAGAGGGACCATCGGGGGCTTGCGCTGCACCACTCATAGCTCCATCCACCCACCCCATATCCAGTGTAAATCCGAAAGAATAAGACCTGGAGGCATGTGGATGGGGGCCGCATTTCATCAACGGAGCCGGCTCACACTCCTTCACAGACAAGCACAAGCACGCTGTATTTGGGAATCAATCGCACACAAGGCAGTGACTAGGCGGTACTCTGCTCTACACTGATGGCATGGAACCACTTCGAGTTGGCCTGCCGAACTACCTCCTCCTGCACCAAGTGGTGCAGCGCAATCACCAACGCGGGTCCGCCGTGTTTTAATACTTCAGGCGAGATCCCGTCGGCACCGGCATGCTTGCCGTTTCGCAGCTGAGCAAGTGCTCTTTGCGTCCCATCCAATGTCGGCGCGTTCACCAGACTTGCCTTCACATCATACTGATTCAGGCAGTTCAAATTAGTCCAGTCGATCTCTGAACGGTTGTTCAAGAGACAGTCAAACTGTTTTTGCCAGATCTGCATTATGTCTGCAGTCTGTGTGCAGGTAGCGCCTGAGCTACCATCGATCAGCGTCTTCAGTGGCTCCAATCTCGGTCCATACACTGCCTTCAGTGAGTCAAAGAATTCTTTGTGTTGGCGGCGTTCCGCGTAGCATTACATCTGCTTTGCCTTCTTCCTGCACCATGCATTTTTAATGTGACGGAACTTTCAAGTCATTCGTGGAATTCCGCCCAACTTTCTATTCTTCCCCAAGTCACTGGGGTCTGCCACATGTACAGCAAATGCTGCATTCTTCCCCGACACCAATGCGTTAATCGTAGCATTGTTCTCATCAAACCAACCTGGACGCTTACAGTTGGCGCGCCCGGTGGTCTCCTTGGCAGCAGCTATCACCTGGTTCCACAGGTCGCCCATTGTGGTTTCGCATTTCCCATCACACACTCGTCTAGCCATCGCCTTCTCCAGCTCAATACGTTTCTCCACAGTACCGAGGGGGAGAAAGTTTAATTTAGGCCGATTCACGGCGGGAAAGCAATACATAGATTTCCGAAAATATATGTGCACTTTGGTCCACGCCAATTTGTGATCAGTGCCACACTCAGCTCCACGCAGTACACGTGTCATGCGCACTTCACGCATATCACGCTGACGTACGATGACTTTGTCGAGTAGGTGAGCGTGACCACTCCGTGGGTCGTCCAAGTTGTTATATCACTCGTACTCAGTGCAAACTGTGTGTTCGTGATCGTCAGGCCTTGAGTGGCACACAGTGAGGGCAGCCTGTCACCGTTCGCATTCGCTGAACCAATGCCATGCGGACCGATGACATCTGTCCACATCGATGCATCACGCCCGATGCGCGCGTTGAAATCAGCCAGGAGAAATAGCCGGTCGCTCTTCGGCACAGACCGTATCACGAAGGGTAACTGAGTGTAGAATTGATCATGCATGTCTTCAGCATAATGCATGGTCAGACCGTACGTACTTACAAAAGTGGCAAACTGATCTCTTCCGAGTAGTAGTCGAGCAGTCATCAGTCGCGCGCTGATACCTGTTGGTTTACCCACCAGGTCATTTAGGCGATCGGATATTTCAAATCCGACTCCATGTACACGCGGTGCTGAGGTGGCATTGCCCACCCAGTAGAACGTGTAGTCAGCACCTGCTTTATGCAACCTACCTTGCTCAGCGAGCCGAGTCTCCCTGAGCGCCACATTATCGATGTAGCGCGCCAATCCCATCGCGACCAGTGCAGTGCGTGGCTTAGGGCGCCCACTGGAGTTCCGTTCCAGTAGTGTGTGTTCCAGCACCCGATGCTGAGTGTTTGCTCGTATGAATGCGATTGCATTGGTGGGCAATCGCACACGACGTGGCGGTCGTGCTTCGGGGGTTTGCTTGAGGGACTCCGCCCGGAGCCTTTGGCTCAATAGCCTGACCCCCAAGGCTGTTCGTGGTTTGAAGGTTTGCTTGATGGACTCCGCCCGACGCCCCTGGCTCAATAGCCTGACCCACGATGTAGTGGGGAGCAGATGCAGCTCGGGAATGTGATTGCAGAGACATATTGGGATCTGCTTGACGACTGTCACACACAGCCTTTGAGGTACTGGAACGATTGATATATGTTTTGCGACCGTAGTGCATACTCACCTGCGATCACGGCCAGACGCAGGTGGGTTTTAGCGGGTTTGCACCAATTTGACCAGGGGCTGCCTGGCTTTAGGCGGGCAGTAGAAAGCCATTGAGCACCTGGGGGTGCCCTCCCACCGTCAGAGACAACGCGTGGAGCTCTTGCTCTACGCCCATCGAGCTGTGAGCTTATAGGGCAAAGTGAGGGCTTACGGCAAGTTGTCGTCGCCCTTTAATATCTCCAACGGCGTGAGACAAGGATGCCCGCTGTCACCTTTCCTCTTCAACTTCGCTGTTGACGAAGTCATGGAAATCGCGTTCACGGCACACGACTTAGAAGGTGTGGAGCTACTCCCAGGAGAACGACTTCTTGACTTAGAGTATGCTGATGATATTGCCCTAATCTGTGACAGCTCACAAACGTGCCAAGCGGCACTGGACAGATTAGTACTAGATGTCCGTCACTTCGGGCTTTGCTTCCCACCCTCGAAGTGCAAAGCGTTCCTTCAAGATTTGCAAGGACCGCCTCCTACGCTGACCGTTGGTGGGGATCAGCTAGAAGTCGTTCAAAAATTCAACTACCTGGGAAATTGTATCAGCGCCCGTGGGATTGAAGATGAAATCACGAATCGTATAGCAAAAGCTCGGGGCGCTTTTGCTAACCTTCGCCACTTATGGCGCCGGCGCGACATCACTCTTGTCCTGAAGGGTAAGGTGTACAATGCAGCGGTACGTTCGACCCTACTGTACGGTTGTGAAACCTGGCCGCTTAAAGCAGCGGACTTGAAGAGGCTAGTTACGTTCGACCACCGGTGCCTTCATAATTTAGCTCACATCTGATGGGAACACCGCGTGAGCAACGAGTGTGTTCGACGCCTTGTTTATGGCACAGGAAAAGGTGATGAACTGCTCAGCGCCGTTATTTCACGCACTAGGCTCCAATGGCTCGGCCATATGTTACGCATGCCAGCCCACCGACTGCCGCGCTGTGCGTTGTTTACGTGCCGGGGGTGTGGATGGAAGAAGAGGAGGGGTGGTTAAGCGATGACTTGGTCGAGAGGAATGAAGGCCCTCACTTCTGAGCTGGCCTCGGTTGGAACGTCTCGGCTGCCTGGTTGGGGTCTGAAAGACGATGAACACGTTTGGTTGGACACACACTTGCTGATATGGCAAGGAGCCGACCTCAGTGGCGTTCGTGCTGTGAGTTTCTTTCTCTCACCCCATCCCTCTTAGCCACCCCCTCCACCCACGATCTCATTATTTAGCCTAATACAATTTTGCATAGTAATTTTTTTCGATGCACAGTAGCCGGCTGGTGGCTTACCGGATCGATGCCCATCCGTTACCGGTAGCTCAGCCGATTTGCACCAGTTGCTTTTTTCTCCTTTTTCTATGTATTGCGGCACAGTAGCTGAGGTCTTCCCCACCTCTAGCTAACGTGAATGATGATGATGATGATGTTAGCATATAACTCATAGACCTATTGTCTCTCATGGCTAGCTTTTATGGGAAGAGTGCCATTGACTGCTTGCTAACCTCCGACGAAGACGGTTTAGCATAGTAGCAAGGCGCCCGTACCTGACAGGAGAACGACTCAGGTTTTCAGCCATAGCCTTTGATTAAATGCGCATCCGAATGCCAGCGGGTCTAACACGATCAGTTTACTAACTCATGCCCTTTAGTGTCCTGGATATTAGTAGGGAGAAGGGCGTAACCGAACTCCCACCCCGCAGTCGCCACGAGGAGGCATCCAGGACATGAACCCATGGCACAACATCAGCAGCAGTGGTTTGACCATCTGTCATTATCTAGACACCATCAGCCTCCGCGCACCATAGGCTCTCCTACTATATATATATATATATATATATATATATATATATATATATATATATATATATATATATATATATATATATATATATATTCTTAAGAGTCCATCGTGCGCCTGTCTTTGTATCGTCGATATCCTGACAGGTCGTCGACCCACTGCTCCCAATGATATGCCGTGGACTCAGTCCAAGACACCTCCACTGGATTGGATTTGGGTAGCACTTCTATCTAGCTTATTAGCAGGTTACACACAATTCTGCGTAAGTCCATTCATCCACTCATGTCGCAAACCCCGCTGCTTTCCGGGAGTACATTTTATCGGTCTTTGGTTGAGGACTCAAGTCGTTCTCCTGTCAAGCATGGGCGCCCTGGCAGTATCCTGGTCGAATCCCCAATCATGCATCACGC